GAAAGCCCAGAAGGCAGGAATGCATAGGAAAGAAGGCTGGGGAAAAGGTAACCACAGGGAGCAAGTAGGAAGAGAGACGTTATATTGTCAGGATTGCAATCAATATCACAAAACAAAATGTGTATGAGCTTTTGAATGGAAAATAGTAAACTTTTACCCAAATCTCAATAAAAATAAATTATCTAAATGAAAAAGAATTTTAAAAAATTGAATCCAAACGATTATATGCCTAGGAAGAAGTTTAGGTAGAGATCACTAGCTTTGGCTCAGGACAGCGTGGGGTCATACCCTGATTCCACCATTTGCTAACTGTTGACCTTGGGCAGGTCACTCAACTCTCTGAGCCTCAGCCTCTTTCTCTGGAATGATGCTCCACTTCAGAGAGTGAGTGTGAGGTGTGACAAGCTCAATGTACAGTTGAGCAAGCTCAATGCCTGGCACCCAGGAAGCACTCAACATAAGGTGGCCACCCAGACAACCCCCGTAGAAAGAAGCACAACAGAAAATGAGCTCACTGACTCTTAGGAGTATCTGAAAGTATGTATCAGTCTTGATACATACAACAAAGTTAACTTCTGATTTTAATATGAGAGGGTAGAAAGGAGCTTGGAAGCAGAGTCAACCACTGGTGGAAGAAGATAGTGAAGGAGCCTTCGAAAGGAAGTCATCCCATGGGAAGGTGGAGAAATGCCACATCTAGGAGGCATCCGCTGCCCTGGGCCAGGCTGAGGAGACCCACCTGAGCAGAACCACTGAGGAAAGGGAGCAGCTGGATGGTCTGACAGGGATAGCTAATGTCTGGGGGTGACAAAAGAGACTAAAGTCCAAGGGGAGTACCAAGAGAAGCAGGAAGTGAAAGCAAAGGCCATAAGAACCCCTCAGGAATGACCACGTGTGGTGATCTAGGGTGACCTGGGGCTCGGGTGGGAAGCCAGAGTGAATTGGGAACCCCGTCAGGGAAAAAATAAAAAAACATGAAAAAGCAGAGGCAGGTATGGGGTAGTTGACAGAAAGAAAATAAATGAGTAATTTCTTGTATAAGATCAGTACAAAGCTGGTTCCTAAGAAGTGGAAGATGTTCTAAATGTCCAACTTTTCCAAACTGCTGTAGCACTCCATCATCCCTAACATTAACTACTTCCCCTCCTCTCAGTACTCTCCCTCCAATCTTTGGGTTCTGTAATTCAACACAACATCTCACAGAACTCATGAACCATACTTACAGTTAAGTGGTTTATTAGGGAAGTAATAGTACAATTCAGATCTGGAACAACTCAGAAGTAACAGGCACAACTCAAATAGAGTTCCTGATCAGGACAACTTCTTCTCACCCTCAGCTGCTGGGACCTGCTCAGGGTCATCTTGGGCAAGTGTTACAGCTCTTAGCTCTGTGGGTCTGCAAGCTCCACTGCAGCCATGTTGAACCAGGCTCCTGCTTCCTACCACCTTGTGCTGCCATCACTCTTGCTACTGCTGCACCACCATCATTTACTTTTGCTAATGACGTATTGCATTGGTCAAATCTGCTGCAAAAGATCTCTCTAAAGTGTTAAAATCCCTCTAAAGATGTCACTTTGAGGGCTAAGGTGTACCTGGCCCAAGCCATGACATTTTCAATCATCTCATGTGTATGTGAAACCTGGATAATGAATTAAGAATACCAAAGAATTGATTCCTTTGAATCATGGTGTTGGTGAAGAATATTAAATATACCATGGATTGCTGAAGAATTAACAAATCTGCCTTGGAAGAAGTACGGTTGGGATGCTCCTGAGAAGGGGGAATGGCGAGACTTCATCTCACATGCTATGGATGTGTTATCAGAGGGCCAGTCCCTGGAACAGGACATCATGCTTAATAAAGTAGGGGGTCAGCAAAAAAGATGACAACTCTGAATGAGATAGATTGATACAGTGGCTACAACACTTGGTTCAAACAGAAATGACTGTGAGGATGATGCAGGAGCTGGTAGTGTTCCATTCTGTTGTATATATGGTCACCATGAGTACCAGCTTGATTGCACATAACAACAACAACCCATAGAGTTCCAAGCACATTATTTGTTTTCTTAGCAGGCTGACCAATTCCCTTGGTGAGCCACAAATACCTTATTTGCATAGTCCCACCCAATCATTTTGTGGGAGTCACAAAGACTATGGCTAGAAGAGCTATATTAAGTAATATACTGCACCACAGAGGAACAATGATAGAAGGAGGAGGAAATGGTTGTGGTACTATGAAGAACAGGAATGATGCACTAAACTAAGAATCTGGTACAAGACTGAAGGCTAACACTGTGTGTAAGAAAAAAACCATTATGAACTAGAGAGATGTGAAAAAATGGAAGGGTGTGACAGAGAGGAAGGGAGGATGACCCTCACCCCTGTGGTCTGGCCTTCAGTTCCACACACAGCACTCTCTACTCCTGCCCACTGGCATTGCTTGCCACCTTTCTCTACCAGAGCCAAAGAACCGGTGAGAAGTAGGAAGAAAACCCCTCAAATACGTGACCTCTTAGCTCTAAGGTCTGGCAGACTGGGAGAAGCCAGGAGATTGCATTTCTGTCCCAGAATGGACTAGAGAGAAGAAAACCAGGGCTCTAGGCCACGAGAGTAACAAGGGAGCAGTAGATCTGCCCCTGTGGTAGGAGGAAGCACAAAGAGTGACAGGAAGGCAGGCCCAGGAGAGCCCTGCTGTGCAAACCCTCTCAGCATTGCCCACACACATACACCCCACCCCTCAAAGCCCAGGAGTGAGGATTTAGTGGGAAGGCATCTCTGACTTTATTACAAGAGACCAAACAAGAGCTTCATTGTTCTTAGACACACTGCATGGAGCGGGGACCATGTCCCCAGGATAACTAAGCTGAATGGACATGATACTAAGAAGACCCCAACCAGCAAATAAGCTCTTGTCTATTCTTTATCACATTCCCTCTTGCCAGGACCAAATCTACCATTTGAGGAAGAGAATAAAAGACAGCAGTGAACCGTATGTCCTAGCAGAGCACATGCAAGGGAGCTGAGAATGAGAGCAGAGGAAGGGCACTGTTTCCCAGGTGAGAACACCTAAGGCAGAGGTGACAGGAACTCCAGGGGCTGTGTGACAAGCATTAAAAAAAAAAAAAAAAAAAATTTCAGAATGTATTAGTCTGGTGGACTAAAATGCCACTGTTTTGTATGCTGGTAGGGGAGCCACACACTTCCACACCTATCCAGTAAGCCCCTTACTTGGCCATGTGGAGATGTTGCTAGCAGTTTACTCAGCTTCTGGAGAAAATGATGAAAACACCAGGGATACCCACGTTCCATCTACACAAGCGGTCCATCTATGATGCCACATCTCAGTGTCTACTTCCCCACTCACACACAGAGAAGACTGGCCTGGAAGCCCCATGTCTGCATAGCTATGTGGTAGTTACTTTAACAATAATCGGGTTAGCTTTTGCAATGAGAAAAAAGGAAAATAGAAATTAAATAGAATATGGAATTAATTTCTTGGATGATTAGATTGCAAAGGTGAAGCCACTATTAATACCAAACAAATACCTCTCAGAGTAACAGCACAGAGCTATCTAGTATCATGTGATTGGACTTTAAGCTAAATCAAAGAACAAAATGCCAAATATAATTCATCAGACTAGCAGTGGAATTAGAGCATCCTGACATATAATGGGGAGTTCTGGCGGTGTAGTGCCTAAGGCTTTTGACTGCTAACCAGAAGGCTGGCAATTCAAACCCACCAGCTACTCCTTGGAAGGAAGGTTGGGCAATCTACTTCCATAGTGATACTACCTCGGAAACCCAAGGACAAGTCACTATGAGTCAGATCCTACTCGACAGCAGTGAGGTTTTTTTTTTTTTTTTACATATAATGGTCAAAGCAGTGTGGCCTCTAGACTGTTAGTTTAATTGTGAGGAGATCTCTACTTTTAAACATTACTTTCAAAGTCAGTGATATTGAAAATTTTGGTATTGAATCTGAAATAGAACAAAGAATTAAGTTTTTGGGTAGTATACTCTTTACCCTAATTAAGATTTAAGGTCTTATGTCTTCAGTTGTACTATGGTTTTATAACAGTGGCCAAGGTCTATCTATCTTATTAGAAAGCAGAGAAGCTGGTAAGACACACTTTAAGTTGTGGCAGCAAGACTGGGGTGAACAGGTACCCGGTGGGCTGAGCACTGCACCCTGGAGCTGAACAACGTAGCAGGCTAGAGTAAGACTTAGGACTCCCGAACTAGAGAAAACAATGCCAAGCCTGAAGCTAAGGAAAATGCTGAGGACAAGAACTGTGGATTTGAGGACAGGGTGGAAGGAATTTTACATTGGTTACTGCACAAATCAGAAAACAGCAGAAAATCCAGTAAGTGAAAGAAATGGTGAATCAGGGCAGTCCATACTTAAACAAGGTCTGCGGATGATATGAATGGTTTGTGATTCGGTGCTAACCTAAAGGTTGGCAGTTCATAGCCACCCAGTAGAAGCATGGAAGAAAGGTCTAGAAGTATGCTTCCATAAATATTTCGGCCAAGAAAATCCTATGGAGCAGTTCTACTCTGTAACACATGGGTCGCCATGACCAGAATCGATTCATCGGCAATGGGTTAAACCTGAAGGAGTCCCTAGGTGGCACAAATGGTTAAGTGTGTGGCTACTTACCAAAAAGTTGGCTGTTTGAGCCCCCTAAAGGCACTTTGGAAGAAAAGCCCAGTGACCTGCTTCTGAAAGTTCACAGCCTTAAAAACCTTATGGAACACGTTTACTGTGCACAGTTGGGGTCACCATGAGTCAGAAATCAATGCCAAGACAACTGGTTATATCATGGTGATACCTGAACAAGGAAGTTGGTATGGCAAGAATAAAGGCAGAACCAACCACAGGCACACACAGTATGAAGCAGTAGCCCACTTGTAACAATTCATCCCCCAAGGCCCTTCCAGTGACAGAAACTAACTCCATCTTCTGGTTAAGTCCTCTCCAAGGCCACATGTACTTACGTTCTATGAGAAAGAGAAAGCATACTATCCCCATGGCCGCCACGATGGCCCCAGGCACAATGAAGGATAGGCCCCAGCACGTGGACACCCAGTAGCCAGCTATCAAGGACCCCAAAATGTTTCCCACGGAGGTATGGGAATTCCAGACACCCATAATCAAACCTCGCCTGCAACATAACAAAAAAATAAGATGTCAATGGCATGGAGAAGCTGAGATGAGCCAATCTATGGAGGCCACATGGAACCGGCCCCATGGAAGATTTAGGGTAGACACAAACAAATAAGCAATTCAGTTACTGCTTCTGCAAGATGCAGAACCAGAAATGCTTACAAGAGGACTGGGTTTTTATTTTTTCTCAGGATTTATAATCATGCATTCCCATTTCTCTCTCAGAGAATTCTTATTCTACAATTCAAAAGAAAAAAACTAGCTGCAGTTGAGTCGATTCTGACTCAAGGTGATCCTATGTGTGTCAGTAGAACTGTGCACCATAGGGTTTTGGAAGCAGAATACCAGGCCTTTCTTTTGAAGCATCTCTGCTTGGACTTGAACCTCCAACCTTTGGGTTAGTAGCTGAGTCAGAATGTTGTTAACTATTTGTGCCACCTAAGGATTCCTTAATTAAAAAGACAGACCTTTCATGAAATTCTTAAAAGACTCCAAATTTAAACACATACCTCTACCATCTAAATACAATCATCTGATGAAATTTCATTATCAGTAAAAGTTCATGCTAAGAACATACCAGCGAATGAAGTATGTAATGGGTTTGTTTCCCTATCCCTACTCAATCTTTGGCCTGGCTGAGCTGGGTTAAGCTCTGTGCATTTTTCACACAGACATTTAAAACTGAACCTGGACTGGCAATCAAGAGACCAAACACCAAGTCCCAGCTCTGCCAGCTCTGCCGAGTTAGTGCTGGATGACTCAGGTCAGGACTTCTAAAATGTGTGAGTTCCCTGGGAGTCTTGTTAAAATGCAGATTCTACTTTAAAAGGGCTGGGGTGGGTCTGAGAATCTCCATTCTTGGGAGCTCCCAGGCCAGGCTCTGCAGGTCCTGGTTCTGTGTCACAGACTTCACCCTGCCCACAATAGGGAGTGCTGGGCTCTACTGACTGTCAGGACAAAGGACCATCCAAATTCCAGAGCCCCAAGTGTTAGAGATTCTAACAATCTTATTCCAAAGAGTAGAGTATTTAATTTTAAGGGAATTCGTCGAAAGGAAAACTAACAATAAAGTGATTTTTCATCATTATCTTTTTAAATATAATTGCTGCTGAGAACAAGGCTGTGTGTCTCACCTTCCTTTGCCAAACCAATTGCCGAGGCAGGTGACCACACTGGGCCAGCCAGTGGTCTGCACCAGGCCATTGATGATCTGCAAAAAGAGCAAGATAGGAATTCACCATGGATAAAAGTCACGCACAGGAGTTCTTCTTCAAAGGAAGGTCACAAGCTTACACCATTCTATTTATAACTAAAGTTTAGTAGCATAACCCAGACTCTCATCAAAGAAGGGGACAAAATTCCATTTTACATTGGTCTTAAAAGCCAAAGATATATTTTAAACTTTTTTTTTGAAACTTTAATACCTGCATATTACAGAAATTTTAGAATAAGTAGAGAGAAAAGACAAGATCACCAAGCTCAGCTCCCACTGCTGAGAGATTACTACTGTTGCATCCGGGTGCCAAGCTCCCCAGTTTCCTTCCAATTTAAAATTCTCATATAATTTTTTCTTCTTTTTATAGACATGGGATTGTACTATAAATGTGGCTTATACACTGTATGTTTCACTTACTACATTATGAAGAAGATATTGCTTTTAATCATTCTCTGATATGAACACAACCTTGACCTAGAGTCTGGAAAAAGTATTTCTCCAATTTTTAAGAGAACCCTGAGCTGAAGCTTCTAGAAGGGAGTTAGGAATGTATTACTGAGTAGGTCTACTTTAGCCTCATGAGAATCAGGTATAACTTTACATGAAGTCCAGTGCTTCTGACAACCTCTACTAGAACTAAACCAGTTCTCTAGAACATACTCTGGGAGTCTCTGGTCTAGCCTGTGGCTGCCCTCTGGGCTCACCAGGCCAGTCTGAGACAGCCCAGCCTTCATGACCGTCATATGCTGGCACTCCAGGAAATTGATTTTCCTTCTTCCTAGTTTTCTACAAGCATGGGTCACTTTTATAATTTAAAAGACAAACTTTTTAAAAAGTACTATGGTAAAATATTTTTTTAATTAAAAGGAAAGTTAAATGAAACTTCCCTTGATGGTTTTCTAACACCTCCTTAGACTGTTTGGAGAGCCTCAGAAGTACTGCAAAACCAGAGCTGAACATCATCATTTTAAGTCATTTACCATTTCTAGTTAATGTTTACCATGGAGCTGTTGGAAGGGGCAGACCCAATTGTTTCAGGAAGGACTGGGCCAGATTGAAGGGCAAAGCTAGCCTGACCTGTCTTAGGCCTTCAGTCCCTGTGATACCATTAAGCTTGCTCATTTCCTCCCCACTAACCACCTCATACCCTACCCTATTGCCAATGGCTCCAAACTCATCTTTTCCTTCCATCATATCCACAGTCCCATACCCCTGCCACTCTTTTCACACAGCAGAATATCTCAAACTCATCAAAATTAAGAAAGAACAATGAATAAAGGCTTCATGTTCAATCCCCCCCATGGGAGGTACTGACAAAAAGAATTCTCTACGAAGTAACATCTGAAGCTAAGGAACACCTCACAGCTGCTGGAATGCCACAGTGGACAAGAGAGTAGGGCTTTACCTGCCAATATAGACCCTGACTTCTGACAGGAAGGATATGGTACTGTTCCCACCCTTGTTCTCTCTCAGCAGAGGTGGGGTCACATACAATAAACACTCCATTTTATCCATCATGGAAATCTCATACATGGTGAGCCATGAATCGGAACCCTTACCTGAGTGACTACGTAGAATCCAAAACTGTGAATATCGTAGAAATATCCCAACCCAAACAAGGCAGTGAAGGCTCCACTGGCGAACATCCCAAAGGTCAGATAATACCTAATTGGCAGGCGTTCCCCTATTATGCCACTGAGAAGAAGGAAAGACAAACATAAGAATGCACACCCACCCACAATGTCAATGACCAGCTACTTCTCTCAGGATGTTTTCAGGCTGTTCTTGAGTTTTGAGAACTCAAAATCATGATACTTTCCAGGAAGACTGAGTCACAACTATTTCCCTATTGAACATATATTAACCAGAATCTGGCAACTGGCTTAATCTTATGAGGAATTCTGTTTCCAATAAAAGTCATTAGCTGTCAAATAACAAAACTCAAACATTATGACTTACTTATTATGGTTGTCAATTAAAGAAACCAAGAATTTGTACTGCTATTTAATCCTGCTATCATATAAACAAACACTATCCAGTGAGCGGTATATAAAGGTCAGTTGTCAAACTGACAAATGTCATGATCACTAATGACCTTGAGCCCATCACAGAGCCCACGTGGGCAGTAATTAAGTCACCTACATTGAAACAATTTGCAGGTATGACTCAGTGGAGAACCAAGTACCACCATCCTGGCCATAATCACTTTCCTCTGCTTTAGACACAGAAGATTTTCTTTAGGGTGAGGTCTGAATCCCATGGCTAGGATCTTTAAGGTTCTTCCACACAACAACATGACCCAAGAAAAAGCTAACCCCTTTTGAGTCAGACCTCATAGAATTATTTGGGGATCAAAGGAGATATACGCACATTAAAAGCTTGGTACACAGTGGAGATTCAGTCAAGTAGCTACTATTGTAGTGGGGAGGATGAAAAGCCTCCAGTTCCAAAATAGGGCACACACTTCACAGGCTTTTACCACTATCATATCATACTACCTAACACCATATGAGATATATCCTTTATTGCTTCATAGGAAATGGCACTTTGGAGCAGCTTGACACTGTGACTTAATTGGATAAAATAGCAATAGACTAACCATAGATGACTGTGAGCCTTTTGGAATCACTAAAAACTCTATGAGTGTCTCACTTCCATCCTCATAATAATTCTAGGAATCAGATAAACACAAAGCATAATGCACAATGACCCCAACCTGCCCACTCTAGGAATTCTCCCCAAAATTCCAGACTTTCATTTAAAGGATCAATGCATTACAGAGCTTTTCCTTCTGAATTTACCAAATTAAAAAGACCAACTTAGTGCCACACAAATGACTTTTTTAACATTAACACAGAAGAAAGTAATTTAAGATTACAAACATTCAGGTCAAGTTTCAAGGGATTTGCCAAATTTCCTTGGTTGCATTGAAAATGGTAACAAACAGACTCAGAGAATTCTAGAGCTGATTCAATCAGATGAGAAACCTGGCCCAGAAAGGCTGGTGAACCTGCCCCAAATCAACAGAACAAGAAGCAGAACCCATGGGTCTCCTGAGAGCTAGTGCCCTGCTGGTGGGGACACAGGCCATGGGCTCAGGCTCAGATACATTCCAGTCTCACTATACAATATGGGGCCCTAATTCAATCTCTACTTAAAGTTGTTGAAAGAAAAGGCCTCACAGAATGGAATGGGCATCATGACATATTATATGTGTCATGTTACATATATACATAGTTGTATGTATATGCATATATGCATACATACACGTGGGAGCTCTGGTAGCATAGTGGCTAAGGCACTTGACTGCTAACCAGAAGGCTGGCGGTTCAAACCCACCAGCCACTCTTCAGAAGGAAGATGGGGCAATCTACTTCCGTAGTGATACTGCCTCAGAAACCCAAGGAGGGGTCGCTGTGGGTCGGGTCCGACTCGACGGCACATAACAACAACAACAACAACAATACACATGTTATATATATCAGACTAATGTGGGCCTTAAACTCCAGGCTCTATCTGTCTGGACCTCACAGGCATGACCTGAACTACTGAATGTGTCCATCTGATGTGATTTATCTGATGTGCTAAATGAAACAATGCCCATTGCTAAGACCTTGGGCAGAAACTACACACTCAATCTTACTAGCCATGGAGCCATTCTGTCACACTAAAGGGCCAGTCAAGGAAGTAGTGACTTTGTTTTGGTCAGGAGTCCATTTATAGATTTCACATTAGACCATTATTTTGTTTTAATGACCCTCACAGACACACTGCATGAAAAATTATCTTTGCAATAATAAAGAAACCATAAAACCACTTTATTTACTTTAACTAGCATTTCTCAACCCTGCCATATTGACATTTTGGGTGGAATCATTCTTTGCAATGAGGGGTTGTCCTGTGCATTGTAGGAGGAAAAGAAATATCCCTGACTTCTTTCTACTACAGGCCAGTAGCAACCATCCCCTACCCCCACCAATACCTAGTCAAGACCCATGTTCTGATAATATCCATGGCTCACATGGTATCTCTCTTCAGCTGAGCTCATATCTCATTGTATCCACTTGCTCATGCAGACACATTCTGTAGCACTGTGCAAATACACAAATCCAACATTGGCCTGAAGGGGGAACTTCCATTTCACTAGCAGATTGACTGACTGGGCACAAACCACCCACAAGGAGTCCAGGTCTTGATGATCCTATACTCTCAGTACAATTCCCTGAGATTGTCTAAGCATCTCTGAACAAAGTCTTTGGAGACTAACGGCCTCAGTCCCTACAATGTTTTCTTTATTTCTTTTGTTTAACATGGATGGACTGACACAACACCCCAGTTTTAAATCCTCCAACCACATGTCCCAGTATTCATATACCATTTATCACCTGCCTAGGTCACCATCAAGGAGCTATGGTGGCTGCTAATCAAAAGGTCAGTGGTTTAAACCTAGCAGCTGCTCTGCAAGAGAAAGATGAGGGAGGCAATCTGCTTCTGTAACAACTTACACCTTTGGAAACGCTATGGGGCTATTCTACTCTGTCCTACAGGGTTGCTATGAGTTGTAATCAGATCAATGGCAATGGATTTGGTTTGGTTTTGGTAGATCACAGTCAAAAATGGGATCAAGAACAGGGTCTGGGATAAGAATTACAGCTAACATTTACTGAGGACATACCCTGTCAGGTACCATTGTAAGCATTTTATATGTATTAACTCATTTAATACTCACTACAGTCCTATGAGAAAAGAACTCTTATCTCCTTCATTTTGCAAAGGGAAAATAAGGCACAAAGAGGCATAGTAACTTGCCCGCGGACACACCCTAAGTGGCAGAGCCAGAAGTCTAACCAAGCAGTTGGTCCCTAGAGTCCACACGCTTAACTGCCATGCTACAATTAGAGGAAGAATTTTGTGTGGGGCCAAGTTGAGTGTGAGGTATCTAGAAGGCATCCGGGTGGAGATGCTTAGTGCATACTGTGTAAACAGATCTGACCCAAAACAAAATCAAGCCAAACCCACTGCCTTCAAGTAGATTTCAACTCATAGTGACCCTGTAGGACAAAGTAGAACTGCCCCATGTTTCCAAGATGGTAAACTTTACAGAAGAAGCAGACTGCCTCATCTTTTTCCCACGGAGCAGCTGGTGGGTTAGAACCACTGACCTCTCAGTGAGCAGCCGAGAGCTTACTCACTGCTCCCCCAGGCCTTAAGAGATCTGATGTTGCGGAATTTGTCACTTGGGGCATGTAAGCAGACTGTGGCCACTGAGACCACAAAAGAGGATAGGCTCTGTGGGTCATCATGGGGAACCCATGAGACTATCCCATGAGACTCTAGTGACCATATGTGAAATGAGACTTAGCATGGGATAGCAGGATTTGTGGTGCATTATGGGCACAGGGCTGAGAAGGCCATGCCTGGTCTGCACCAGCTCAGCAAAGCACCAGGGACTAGTGAGCCTCTGCTTCATGGTTCACCTCAACAGACATAGTGCCCAACACACTTGCTTTCATTCTGTTCTCACCTCTAAGAAGACACTAAATGGGAAGCAAGTGTGAGCATGGGCCCAGTCCTGTGCACACTTTTGCTGTTGTTTTTGTAGTTGTCACTGAGTTGATTCCAACTCATGGTGAGTCCATGTGTCAAGAGTAGAAGTGTTCCACAGGGTTTTCAAAGTGGTGACCTTTTGGAAGTAGACCATTAGGCCTGTCTTCTGAGGCAACTCTGAGTTGGTCCAACCTACCAACCTTTCAGCTAGTAGTCCAGTACAGTTAAAACAGTTTCTAAATTGAATAGACTATGTAACTGGTCAAGGGCCTTGAAAAATTCTAGCCCACCTACCTCAGGTACATGCCGACTGCATAAGCACACAGGAAAGAGTAATCCAAGGCCCCAAGCAGCTGCTGATAGTTATCCTTATCTGCACAGGTTTGAAAATCAACAGGAAAAGCTCATCATTATTTATTTTTCACTAAACATCAGTTTAATGGGCAATAAAATACAAAGTATCTGTCCTGACACTCAGAAAGTACAGAGGGGTGGCTGGAATACACACAACAGGGCAGCATGGCTTCTCTTCAGGTTCTAAACCTTTTGGAAAATAAAATCACTGCACTGTCAATCACTAAATAGACATCATTCAGATTATACAAAATCCAATTGTTCACAGTGGGCATTTGATTGATCCCATGTTATACTGGATTTTCTTCAACACCCCACACCATGCTCTTTCTCTACTTTCCTCCCACAGATTCTTGTTCTACAAGTCTGAACTTCCAGTTCTGACAGAGAATGCAAATCATCCTTGACAGACTACCCCACTCGGTGACTCTTGTTTCAGGTGGCAATATGTCTGCACACAGCGAGCTTGTTACTGAATAATGCAGACAGAGCAGAAGCAGCTGAAGTAATGATAATTGTTTGATGGGAGAGGGCCATCACTGGAAATACATTACAGCATAATTCCTGCTGAAATTACCAGGACAGAAAAGCCCAATAATGCTGTCATCTCTCACCAGCTCAAGGATGAACTGCTTCAGTTAACAGGATCAACACAGGGTGGCTGACAAGAACTCACCAAATGGTGCCCAGCCACAGTCGGTCCCATTATTGGGTGGTTGCTGAGGGGGTAGGTAACCAGTTTGTTTGCTTGGGCTGTTGAACTGGACTTCACCCTCAGTCACAGCAGTACAGTCCTTGTGGAGCTCACCCTAGGACATCCACAGGGAGGATGAAGCAAGGAGAGAAAATATATATCCAAGTGAGATGTGGCATGGGATGCAGAGCAAAAACAGCTGTCCTTCCCTCTGACCAACCTTTCTAAGGCCACTGCCTTTTGGGAAGGGACACTTGAGGAGAGTCTGCAGGACTCATAAAAATGCCTGTTGGTGAGGTCAGAGTTTAGGCAAGATTATGCAGCAAGTCACCCAAGTATATAAACTCACTGCCATTGAGTCAAGTCTGACTTGACTCAATAGCGACCCCCACTGGGTTTCAAGGCTGTAAATTTTTATGGAAGTAGATTGCCTCATCTTCCTCCTGCAGAGCAGCTGGTGGGTTTGAACCCACTGACCTTCTAGTTAGCAACCAAATGTCTTACCCACTACACCACCACACCCCCTTACCCAAATATATAAACAACAAAAATAAGCACTTATAAGATGAATGCTTGCAGTAGCTGTGTTTAAAAGAGTCCTGAGCTGATCACCTGTGGTCCTCAGATCATCTGTCCGTAACAGAAGAACAGAGACATTTGGCCAGACTCATACCATTCCACTCCCTGGAAGGTAAGACGGGGCAATCTACTTCCGTAGTGATATTGCCTCAGAAACCCAAGGAGGGCTCACTATGAGTTGGGTCTGACTCAGCGGCACATAGTAACAACAACAACAACATACAACTGAACACTGCACAGCAATGAAACAAAACAGTTCACAGCTGTGCATGTCACTCACAAACATAATACGAAGCAAAAGAAGCCTGACACAAAGGAGTACAAACTGCATGTTTCCACTGATATGAGATTCAAGAACAGGAAAATAAGTCTATGGTGAAGTAGTTGAGAACTGTGGCTACCTAGAGGAGGTTAGTGATGGGAACAGGGTACAAAGGTGTCTCCTGGACTCTATGTCTTATTAGGGGCCTATAAAGGGCCTATGTCTTAAAGAATTCTATATCTTAACCTAGGTGATAATTACCTAGGTATGTATATAAGTATTTGTCAGGTTAGATATTTAAGATCTATGTAATTTACTATATGCAAATCATATCTCAATAAAAGCAGATTTTGGGGAAGAAGTCACCAGCTCATCAGGTTATCCATGGAACCAGTATGGGTGTTAGGCAGAGGTACTCATCTGAGAGGCAGCAGATAGAAGGGAAAGTACAAGGTCTTGGGAGCTAAAGACTTGGTTTCAAACTCCAGCTTGATGGCTGAACTAGCAGTCTAAGCTTCAGAAAGTTACTCACCACCCCAGCAGCAGTCCCCTCATTTGCAGATGAGGCAGTTGGAGCTGCTGATTCCTGTTACTGGGAAGAGTGGTGCTGAATATCATGTTGCTAGCACAGTGCTTGGTATGGGCCACACTTGAGAAATGGTGGTCATTAAAGCTGGGTATAGAAATAAGACTGTGTGACAGGACAAAGTCAAGGGAATGTAAGCAGAGCTTTTGCTCAGCGTGCTCAATAGGAAGAGAGACTACTGACATTTCCAGAAAAGATTGAGAAATTCTTCACCTCAGTTTCACTCTCAGTCCCTTCATCTTCAGGCAGGATTCCTCAGACCCACTTATACTCACATGATGGCCTCAGCCCACATTGTTGAGGGGAAAGAGGCTGATAGAGCAAACAAGTGACCTGCTCTGTAACATACAAAGAGACAACAGATCGGACTCCACCTTCTTATGGAAAGTCTCTTCCAGCCCCTCCCAGACCTCTCCAAGCAGCCTGTCTCATTCCCACTCATTCCTGCTGGGAGTTCACTTTAATAAAGGCTTTGTACCAGACATGACTCAGATGAACCAATCCATCAAGTGGTAGTGAGGCAGGAAGGCTGGGTCCTCTGTGGTCAGGGAGATGGTCTTTATAGAGACCAGACATCCTTTAGTGACCATGAGACCAGAGGACTATCCTTTACTGGGAAGCCAGGGGTCCTGGAGGACTGTGAGGAGAGCTAGCCCAGAGGAGGAGGGAAGCAAGGCATCTTTCCAGGGTGAGGGCCCAGCACAGTGGTCAAGGAGATCCACTCTTTGCCCACTGGTGGCAATGGCAAAGTCCTGTCCACTGCTTTTGCTGCGTTGGTCATCCCACCTTGTCACAGGACAGCAGCGAAAAGAGTCTGTCACTTCTGAAAGGCTGCCTTTCCCAGGGCCATGATCAAGCTCATTGGACACTGCCTGATTTATAATCACTGAGTCCTGGCTCAGTGCACAGAAGCCAGCTGCTCTGGTCATGCTGCTGTATCCTATAACTGGGCTATTCTGCTGTCATTTATACAACACCTTAAGAAGCTAGCCAAGGTTCAGCTTTATAGAGTCAAAATGATTTGTCAAACAGCTTTCCTCCACAGAGCTCAACCTCCCTGGAAGTCTGAGGCATTCTATCTTGGTAAGTATGCCAATCATTTTCTCTCCAAGTGTTTAAACCCCTTCTCTGCTCCTATCTGTGCCCTTCTCTGTCCCTGCACTCAGCTCAAATGAGGACTCAGCTCCCTGTGAGGTTGGGATGGAGCCTGGTGACAAGGCAACATCAAATTCTCATCTGCATAAAGCAAGCATGCTCTGCATGTCCCCATCCCTCTGCTGTGTGATTTTATCCTTTGTTCCTGCTCTTCTCCCTCAGGTGGCAGGTTGCTTCTGCCTACTTTTCCCTGCTTCTCTCATGGAAGCCAATCTGACCATGCCATGAGACCTCACTGCTGCTGCTGTGGTCAGGATTCCCTGACAAAGAAAGGATGAAAGGCAGAGGATAGGGAAGGTCATCCCAGGCTCCAAGGTTATGGGGCTAAATTTGAGCACTGAGGCTTTTAACACAGCATTCTAAGGAAGTAAGGGGGAAAGGAGTTTTGTAGAACATTGCTCCAAACTGAATTTTCACATTCTCTTCCATTGTTAGATGTTCCTGTGGAGGAAACATCCATTGAAAACATAAAACACTAGGAATTATTCCTCTGTTGCATAAACAAGCAGAAAGGTTTTCTAGGTTTGGTTTTTGCATATTGGGAGGCAGTCTAGCATACTGGTTAGGAACATGAGCTTCAGCACAGACAGACATGAGCCAGAATCCTGGTGCTGCCTGGACTTGTGACTGTCCAGAGTCATTTAAACCCTCTTTGTCACAGGGCTGCTGCAAAAATGAGCAGTATATAGAGAGCACCTCTCTGGGTCCCTAGGCCCTGGAAAGTGCTCAGCCATTGGCAGCTGCAAATATACAATGCTCAATGGTTCCCATAGAGACTTGGCCCCTGGAGGGCCTCCACTGAGCCTCTGCTCTCATTCCGCTTCCTCTCAATCTACCTCTTTCCAGCCTTTCTTGTGATAAGATGTAACCCACTCCATTGAAGAGCTGCTACAAAAGTGATAAAAGATATAACATTACTCCAGCAGAAAGCATTTGGAGGTTATTTCAATACCCTCACATGATAGTTTTTAACAATACTACTGTAATATTTTGATGAGTTTAATCCCCAAACCCTGGTATTTGGAGGACAATTAAGGTTTCATTAAACTAAGATGACTGGATCAGAAAAAGACTCATAAAGTGAACTAATTCTCACCATAGTCATGCTTCAGTGAAATATCTTCATCTCCCCACAGCCCACTATATCCTTGGAAAAACATTTATGGAGAGGAGATCAAATCTCCTAGGGAACACTGGCTTTTCTAAAAGCAGTTTTCTTTGCAAAATTTTTTACATGAGTGACTTCCAACAAGTTACATTTAAAATTAATCAACATGCTACATCAGGCAGTTATTAAAAAATGATCAATCAGAAGACTATCTGGGGCTGAAATTCATTAAATGGGGAAGAGACAGTCTCTTTAACAAATGATGCTGGTAAAATTGGATATTCATTCACAGAAAAATGAAACAAGATTCAGATTTGATACCTTATACAAAAAACAACTTGAGATGGATGAAAGACCTAAATGTAAAACCTAAAACTATAAAAAATCATTAAGGGAAAAATAGGGACCAACTTAGGGTCCCTAATTTATGGCATAAATAGTCTATCAAACATAACCAAAAATGTACAAACAGCAGAAGATAAACTAGATGACTGGAATCCTAAAGCTTAAACACTTATGCGCATCAAAAGACTTTTCCAAAAGAGTAAAAAGAGAACCTATGACTGGAAAAAATATTTTTGGCAATGACATATCTGACAAGGAACTACTCTCTAAAATTTATAGAAAACATCAAGACCTCAACAACAAAAAGACAAACAATTCAGTTTAAAAAAGAGGCAGACAACATGAACAGACACTTCCCCAAAGAAGACTTCCAAGTGGCCAACAAACACATGAAGAAATGCTTGAGATCATTAGGCATAGGAGAGATGCAAATCAAAACAGAGACTGGAGTCTCTTCCTCCTTTCCTCCCCATCTAAGAGTGGGGTATTGTCAATTTCACTCCACCTTGACAGGATGCATTAGTGAGAGTTCAGTCCGTGTGTGTCTATGTGTGTGTATGCGCATGTGCATATATGCATATATATCTATATTTAGTATTTAAGTTTAATAAACTCCGTATAATACATTAGGTGGGTTGGGGTCATTTATTCTAACTAATCGTATATATTCCTTTTACAAAGGTCTGGGTTAAAAAAGTCTCCAAAGCATCATCCAGAAGAGATCCTAGAAGGGAAATTAAAGTTATGGTGTCCAAAGGGAGATCAGGTACCTGTGTTAACAGCAGCACCTGAACATGGCTGGATTCTGTCCAAGTGAGTCACAGGAGACATGAGAAATGTACACACACATACATATACAAATATGTACTCTATTCACATATGCACACGGAAGTGGAATATAAAGGAAAGTACTTCTTTCAGAGGTGCAGTCACACTATATATACTTCTGTACATCTTAAGTCCTCTCAGTCAAATACTTCCTGGAGATCTACCTGAATTAACAGGTTTGGCCCTAACTAGCTCTTTTTAATAGTTGCACATCTCACAAGAGGGATTTACCATCACTTAGTCAACCCTTCC